GTTGCTATTGCCACTCTACCAAGAGAAAAGTAATTTATCATTCTTGTAAGTACAGAGAACAAACTCAAGCTATTTTGACTTCAATGTTGAAATTCACTAAATAATGCTATAATTACAAGACATAGTGACAATTGAACTTAAATGCTCAATGAAATTTCCTACAAAATTACTACTAAGTGAAATAAAAATCACCTAATCAGAGATATAGGAAGTTTTCATTGGTATTATTTCAACCTTCATTAGTTTCCCTGATTGTCCAGTATTTAATAACATTCTTTAACATCAAACAATCTGGAAATTCCTAGAAGAAAACATAAGGGGAAAAGTTCCATGACATTGGCCTTGGCAATGATTTCATGGACATGACACCAAAAGCACAGACAAGAAATGCAAAATACACAAGTGGGACTACAGCAAATGAAAAACTTCTGATAGCAAAGAAACAGTAAATGAAGTGAAATAGCAACCTACGGGATGGAAGAAAATATTTGTAAACCATATATTTGATAATAGGTTACTATCCAAAATATGTAAAGAACTCCAACTCAAAAATAATTTTAAAATATAACAATCCAGTTAAAACTGGGCAAAATACTTGAATAGCCTCTCCCCAAAGACACACAAATGGCCAAGAAGTACATTAAAAGATACTCAACATCACCAATCATCATGGAAATGCAAATCAAAACCACAATGATATATTACCTTAAATCTGTTAGGATGGCTTAAAAAAAAAAAAGGTAAGTGTTGGCAAGGATGTGGAGAAATTAGAACCCTTGTACACTATTGCTGGGAATGGTAAATGGTGCAGTCATTATGGAAAACAGTATGGAAGTTCCTGAAAAAATGAAAAATAGAAGCACCATATGATCCAGCCATCCCATTTCTGGATATTTATCCATGGGAATTGAAATCAGGATCTTGAGGAGATATCTGTACTCCCATGTTCACTGCAGCATTATTCCATAATAGCCAAGGTATGGAAACAACCCAAATGTCCATCAACAGATAAATGGATAAAGAAAATGTGATATATATATGGAATATTATTCATATAATAAATTTATTGTATTATATCTTATTGTATATATCTTATAGGTTATATTTTACACATTAAATTATATATAATACATAAAATTATTATAATAATATGGGTATTATTAGGCTTAAAAAGGAAGGAAATAATGTCATTTGTAACAACATGGATGAACTTGGAGGGCATTATACTAAGTGAAGTAAGTCAGACTCAGAAAGACAAATATTGCATGATCTCACTTGTATGTGAAATCTAAAATAATAGTAAGTAACAGAATCAGAGGATAGCATGGTGGTTGCCAGGGGCTGGGGAAAGGGGAAAATGGGTTGATGTTGATCAAAGTATACAAAGTTTCAGTTACACAAGATGAATAAATTCTTGAGATCTAATGTATGGCCTTGGCACCTACAGCTAACAATATTGTATTGTATACTTGAAATATGCTGAGAGCATACATTATTAAGTCTTCTCACCACAAAATAAAGAAATAAAAAGAAAACAGAAACCATGTGGATAGGGTACATATATTAATTAGCTTGATTATGTGATCATTTCACAATGTATACAGTATCAAAACACCAAGTGGTATAACATTTAAACTTTTTTTTTTTTTTAAATTTTACTGCTTAGTTGACAACTTTATTACAGATTACTTTCCGGATGACACATACTTTGAATGCTTGATGACTCATTCATCTATCATTTTTATTATGCTTCATTTATTATCTTTAAATATATATAGAAAATTAAATGTTATCATTAATAGAGAATTCAGGTATTTTAGAAATTATCACAACACTACAGATATCCTCCTTTTTCTAACATAAAATTTAGCTGGTAACCCAGGAAATCAAATCTCAAATCTGAAATTTTAACTGGTTTAACTCTGAGAACTTTAAGTGTATCATTTAGTGTCACCTAATAATGAATTCATAAACTATGTGTGCTAGATAACAGTTTTATTCTTATGAAAAAAATAAGTTTAAGTTACTTAAGTTTAATTTAGAAGAGTTAAAAAATGTAAAAAGTTAATTTACTTAACGAATGAAATTAACAATTGCTTTTATTTTTTTATTTTGTATTTTTTTTGAGATTTTATTTATTCTTTGAGAGAGACAGAGAGGACATGTGGGGGAGGGGTAGAGGGTGAGGGAGAGGAAGCAGACTCCCTGCTGAGCAGTAAGCCCAAAGTGGGGTTTAATCCCAGGACCCCAAGATTATGACTTGAGCCGAAGTCAGATGTTTAATGGACAGAGCCACCCAAGTGCCCCAACAATTGCTCTTAAAGATTGTGAAAAAAGGAGAGAAAAAATCCATAAGTACTTCATTCTCAACATGTATAGAAAAAATAAAATGTTATATCGTAGAGCTAAATTTTTGATGATTTGAGATATGTAGTCAAATAATGGGAGTCACTGAAGCCAAAGGTATACATCACCGAAACCAAAGCAAAGACAACATGTTGATGAACACAGCAGTATTTTTATGTCTATCCCAGAAAAAAAACCCTTTATCTATGTTATCTTTCTTTTAAAGTAATCTTTCCATCCAATGTGGGGCTTGAACTCAGGACCCCTGAGATCAAGAGTTGCACACTCCACCGACTGAGCCAACCAGGTGACCCTATCTATGTTATCTTTTTTTTTTTTTTTAAGATTTTATTTATTTAT